TGAGACAGGGTCTTCTTGTAGCCCCAGCTGTCCTGGAACTCACTATGTAGACCAGGCTGGCCTTGAACTCACAGAGTTCCGCCTGCCTCTGCCTCCCAAGTGCTGGGATTAAAGGCATGTGCCAGCACACCCAGCCAATAAAATTATTTTTTTTTAAAAGAAAAGCAAGTAAAGAAAGGGAAATGCATTTTATGTGTTCATTCATTTCAAAAGGAGGCATTTAAAACTATAATACACGAGAATGCCACTTGCTTGTAGTTTTTAAAATTTTATTAATATTTTGTTTGTACTTTTTAGTTTTTTAAAAAATTTTTTCTCCTTTTTTGAGACAGGGTCTCCATAACCCCAGCTGGCCTGGAACTCACTATGTAGACCAGGCTGGCCTTGAACTCACAGAGACTTGCCTCCTTTGCCTCCTGAGTGCTGGGATTAAAGGTGTGTGCCACCACACCTGGCTTCCATCTAAAATCTTAACACAGTTATTTATCTGAATATTCTTAGTAGGCTATCTCCCAAAGACAAAAGTATAGACAATGAAATCTGAAATTATTTTCAATAATCATGTGTGCATTTATATTAACAGCTGTTTACTATCATATACTTTAGGAAAAAGTAGAGGTCATCAAACCACAACCCACAGGCAAATCTAGCCTGCTGCCTGATTTTTTTGTTTGTTTGGTTTGGTTTTTGAGATAGTCTCCCTGTAGCCTCAAATGGCCTGGAACTCAATATGAAGACCAGGCTCACAAAGATCTACCTGCTCTGCCTCCTGAGTGCTGGGATTAAAGGCATACGCCACCATGCCTGGCAGCTGCCTGGCTTTGTATACAAAGTTTTATTGGAACCCAGCTATGCTTATTATGTTGTGTATTGTCTATGGCTATTTTCAGAGATGAGCAATTGTGCCAGAGAGCATACGTCCTACAAAGTCTAAAATATCTCCCGTCTCGCCTGAAAGAGTGGATCTAGGTAATGTGCTTCCATGGTTACCAACAACACAGAATGAGAACCAGAAATGAGGGCTCATCAAGGAGGAGCATGCCCCTGTTCCTGTACGCTTGGGCGTCTAGTTCTATCAGTGTGGCCACGTGCAGGGGGCCGGGGACACGAAAAGCTGCACATTGGCAGGGCACTCCACAGAGTCCAGAATGTGAGAAGCTGCGTGTGACAGATGGCCAGATTTCTACAGCAAATTGCTAAAAGAAGAGGGGGTTGGGGGAGGGGGAGAAAGGGAGGGGAGAAGGAAGATAGGAGGGAGGAGAAGGAACAACAGAGGGGTAACCTATAGTTCAAAACAAGAATGAAGGGACACATGGATCAAATACAACATGTAGACTATTTGGAGCGTGATTAAAACAGCCTTCATGAAGAAGTCAAGCATCAGTGACATTCAAAGAAACTGAAAACTCATGATGCTTCATTTTATTACAGAGTCATTCATTGAGTTTGTTGTGAAGACGGCATCATGATAGGAGTTTTAGAACGACTCCTTACCTTTTAAAGGTGTACGTGGAAATACTGATGGGTAAAATAACATGACATATGATTTGTCTAAAAACATAACTTAGGAGAACCAGTCATGGGGTGCATGCTTGTGGTCCCAGCACTGGGAAGACTGAACCTGGAGGATAAGGAATTTGAGGGTAGCCTGAGTTCCGTAGGGAGACCCCGTCTCTAATCACCAGCCTCAACGTGTAGGGGAGGGGCAGAGTGGGTGATGAACAGATGAAATCAGATTAGTTATGGGTTAAAACTGTTAACAGTTGATGGTGGGTTACAAAATGTTCCTTTTATTATTCTCTACATACTTGTGTATATATTTGAATATCTATTATAAAGTTTTATTTAAAAAGATCATGGCCAAATAATATTTGCCACTTAATTTTCAAAATGTCTCCTGATTTTTAGTTGAGAATTTCAAATAGAAGAGCTGGAAGACGGGGACAGTGATTACTGCTTACAACTAGATATTTGAGAGCATTTTGCTATTTCTGGGTTTACTGCCCCCCCCCATATATTATTGGGTTTTGTGGTGGTGGTAGCTGATGTTTTTGCTGTGCCGTAAGGGGCCCAGTTGCAAATATAATGACATTAATATTTCAACACTCATCTCCTGAGATGAAGCCATCTGCCTCTTTAGTCACACTGACATCATTGTGCCTTAGGGGATGAACATTCCTCAATGTCATCTAGTACATAGTCCATATTAAGATTTCTGCACTTGTCCCCGGAATGCCTTTTAGAGTTTCTTTTCCTACTTTGCCCCTCTCTCCTTCCCTTTTCTCCTTCCTCCCTCCCTCTCTCTTTTTCTTTTTTAATTAGGATCTCATCTAGATCCAAGCTACATTGGGTGCATCTCCTAGAACTTTCTCTCGCTCTTTTTTCCCTCAGGACACAGATTCTTTGATGTCTTTGTCTCTGTTACCTTTACAAAACAGGAAGACAGGATAGAGACATGATTGGTTTCAGTTACAGACTTGCAGCAAGATGCTGGTGTTTCATCTTGTATCACATCAGGAAATTGGTCAGTTTTCTCACTATAGAGATGGTAACTTTGATCACTTAAGGTGGAGACTGTCAGTGCTCTCAACTTCAATGATACACTTTTGGCTTTCCAGTTAGTGTGTAATTTTTGAAATGATATTTTGGAATCTTGAGAATTTTCTTTAAATACCAAGTATTTAGCAAGGCATGGTGCCTCATGCCTATAACTCCAGCACTTTGGAGGCAAGAGAACTGTGTTAAGTTTGAGGTCAGCCAGGGCTACACAGTGAGTTTAAGGCCAGCCTGTTCAGAGTGCAGTGTGAGCCTGTCTCAAAAAGAAAAAAAAAATTGTTATGGACTAGAGAGATGTCTCAGTGGTTAAGAGCACTGGCTGCTGTTTTGGAGGACCAGGGTTCGATTCCCAGCACCCACATGGCGGCTAACAACTGTCCTAACTCCAGTTCCAGGGGATCCGACACACTCTTCTGACTTCCTTCGGCATTGCACGACACGGGTGCACTTGGCGTACAAGTAAGCGATACACACTCATATATATAAAATGAAAAAAATAATTAAATATTTTAAAATTGAAACAAACAACAAACAGATTCAAGTTTCTGCTCATTTAAAATTTTTGCCTTCCTCTAGGTTAGGTGTCCACCAGTCTCTGGTGTGGCTGCAATCAACTGCTCATCCCATGAGTGCCTCCCCAGACAGCTATGCACTGCCCAGCAGCATCCCTACTTCCGGGGCAGGACTGAAAGCTAAATTTCAGACAAGGTTTAGTCATAAAACTGGCTTTTTCTGTCTAACTTTGCCACACTATTCAGCTTGACCACACACTGGGAAACAGATTATACTTTGATGAAGAGCGGAGTTGTACAGAAGTTTCAAATATAAAGGAAAAGCCAGGCAAGGCAGCACACACCTGTAATCCCAGCACTCAAGGGTCTGAGGCAGGAGGATCCTGAAGTTAAGGCCAGCTTAAGCTACATAAGTAGAGCCTATCTCAAACAAATAAACACAAAAACATACAGCAAACCTCAGGAAACAAGTAAGAGCACGGCGAGTGCTGTGCACTCCCCTCTGGCTTCAACAACTGATAACATTTTACTACACCTACCTTAACTTTCTATCACTTTCTGGTCTAAGTTTTTTTTTGGGGGGGTGGGGGCAGACGAGGTATCTCTACGTAGCCCAGGCAGGCCTTGAACATGCTGTCCTCCTGCCTCAACCTCCTGAGTGTTGAGGTTCCAACTAATCTTTCCCTCCCCTCAGCACTCCCCCGCCCACCGCCTTTTTTTGAGACAGGGTCTCATTATGCAGCCCAATCTATCTTGAACTTGGCCTGACATTTTTATAAATCTATCCTAACTTTCAGCTCAGTTTCTTTAGCCATGAGTATTTTAGTTTCACAAAAAACCCTGCAAGCTGGGCATGGCAGCGCATGCCTTTAGCCCCAGCATTTGGGAGGCAAAGGCAGGTGGATCTCTGTGAGTTCAAAGTTAGCCTGGTCTACATAGTGAGTTTCAGGCCAGCTAGGGCTACAGGGAGAGCCTGTTTCAAAAGGACCAAAAAAAAAAAAAAAAAAAAAAAAAAAAAAAAAAAACCCCAAAACTCTGAGGGTTTATCTTATTATCTTGTGTTTTACATGTGGGGATCAACGTTTGTCCCCCTCTGTTCACCCACTACTCACTGGTGAAGGAAGGATGTACAACCATGTAAAAAGAACTAGAATGAACCACATGGTACTGGCTTGGACAGCTGGAGCTGGAGAGATGGCTCAGTGGTTAAGAGAGTCTCCAGCTCTTTTTCAGGAGTTCAGTTTTCGGCACCCATGTCAGGCAGCTCACAACTCCCTATAACTCTAGCTCCAGGGGCTCCAATGCCCTCTCTGGCCTTCACAGGTACTCACATTCATCTGCACATACTTCCACACATTCACATAAACAAACAATGAAATAAACCTTAAAAAATATATATTAAGGGCTAGAGAGATGGCTCAGCGGTTAAGAGCACTGATTGCTCTTGCAGAGGACCCTGGTTTGATTCCTAGCACCCACATGGAGGCTACGACCCATCCTTAACTCCAGTTCCTGGGGAATCCAAAGCCCTCTTCTGACCTCCATGGCATTGCACGACATGGATACACTCACATACATGCAGGCAATACGCTCATACACATAAAATAAAAATAATAAAATATTAAAAAAATATATATATGAAGGCAGGGCTGACCAGAAGGCTGGGAAAAAACACTTGTACAAGCCTGATGACCTCAGTTTGAGCCCCTGAACCCAGAGTGAAAGGAAAAAAATGACTCCCAAAACATGTCCTCTGACCTCCACACATGCTCAGCAGATGGCACATTCACACACAATAATAATAAATAAAATGTATTAAAAATATTAAAAGGGTAGCTGGAGAGATGGCTCAGTGGTTAAGAGCACTGGCTGCTCTTGCAGAGGACCTGGGTTTGGTCCCCAGCACCCATATGGCATCTAACACCCATCTGTATCTCTAGTCCCAGATCCAATGCCCTCTTCTGGGCTCTGTAGGCATTGCATGGCACAGGTGCACTTGCATACATGCAGACAAAATACATAGTAAATAAAAATAAATAAATAAAATATTAAAAAGGCTACAATGTTAAATCATTGCATCCATAAGATGCAAACAAATGACCACGAAAAGGAAAAGTTTGCTAAGAGTAGTCAGTCTGTGTCTATGCATTGAAAAGCTTTGTAATTCACAATGAGTTCTGTTCTCCTTTTTTCACCCATTGAAGGGACAATAAATTGCTCTGAAAAGCAAAGAGGCTGAGGAGGGCATGGCACTTCTTACCCTTGCCAGAGGTGCTCGGGGTCACAGTTGTCTAGGTAATTAAAGCGGATGATATCAGTAGGATGCTTATCGGAAGACCGCCACGGTGGAAGGTCTTTCTCCCCAAGGTTATTCTTCTTTCTCAAAGAGGAGGAGGCCCGAAAAGGGGACTGTCCTTCTGGAGAACTGCCAGGAACTGGCTGAACATCAGCAACAACGAATCCATCTTTTGGAGGCGTCTAGGGGAAGAAAATGTATTATTTCTGCCCTCAGAGCACCAAGATAAGAATAACAACAAAGAACAGGAGTGTCTTCATCACCTCTCTCATCATCTTCTTCATCGTCACTATAGTAACCATAATGCTGATGAGGATTGCAGTAGCCACCACCCCAGGAGAGGACCTACCAGTGCCAAGTACAATCTATCTAGCAGTTTCTATGCAGTCTTGTTTAGCCTACAGAGTGACTTTATTATTTTTACTATTTATTTATTTTGAGACAGGGTCTCCCAGTAGCCCCAGCTAACCTGAAACTCACTATGTAGATCAGGTTGGCCTCAATCTCACAGAGAGCCACCTGCCTTTGCTTCCTATGTACTGGGATCAAAGGTATATACTACTGTGCCTGGGTATGACTTAATTTTTAATTAATTAGTTAATTAATTCATTTAAACTGGGTCTTACGTAGCTTAGGCTACTTCATTTTGAAGTCCAGGATGACCTTGAACACCTGATCTTCCTGCTTCTACTTTCTGAATGCTGTTACAGGCCTGTAATACCAGGCCTGGCTTATTCAGTGTTGAGGATTGAACATAGGGCTTTAAAGCAAACTAAGCAAATATTCAACTGAGCTATATAACCAGTCTTATTTTTGTTTTTTTTGAGACAGTGTCTCAGTCAGTAGCCCAGGATGGCCTAGAACTTACTATGTTGCCCAGGAAAGCTGTGAACTCACAACAATCCTCCTACCCAGGGCTCAGAAGTGTTGGGATTATAGGTGTGAGCCACCACACTCAACTTTCACAGTCACTTTAAAAGCTAATCATCTCTGGGTGTGGTGGGGCACACCTTTAATCCCAGCACTTGGGAGACAGAGGCAAGCAGATCTCTGTGAGTTTGAGGCCAACCTGGTCTACATAGTGAGTTGCAGGTCAGCTGGGGCTACAGGGAGACTCTGTCTCAAAAACAAAAATAAAAACAAAACAAAATAGCTAAAGATCATCACCTTTGCTTTATAGAGGAGGAACCTGAGGTCAAAGAAACCAACTAATTTACCCATAGAGACATAATCAGAACTTGAATTTCAATTTAGAATTCTGATCCAGGTCTGTTGTGCTTCAAGCATGAGCCTTACCTCATCCTCTTCTGACAATTCTACCTTACCATTGTCAGCCTTGTCACTATTGCAGTTGGTTTATTCATAAAAATAATACGTCTCCAACCCACAAAAGGTGCTCTGGCCTTAATGATCCCTAACACAGACAGACAGGTTCAAGTTGCACAGGGGTAGATTGAAGCTCTATCAATCACCCAAAACCCAGCCACTCCCAAAGAATACTTATGACCAATTTCCAAAATTAGAAGTCTGTCTTTTGTGTGCACAATTCATAAAGGGTTTTTAATGTGGTTGTAGCCTAAGGGAAGTGGTACTGGTATGTTAGGAAGCCATTAAAGAGCTCAATTTTTGTTCATTAAGAGATTAAGGAAGCTTTGCTTGGTAAATTGGTTTGCTTCAATTGTTAGTGAAAAAAAAAGACATTCCCTAGTTGGACAGACTAGTAGAATCTGTGGTAGGCCCCACGGTCTGTACCCAGAACCACAACCAAAAACAGAAGGAAGGAAGGGAGGGAGGGAGGGAAAAAGGAAGTGATTCTCCAGTTCCCCCAAACACAGTCAGTCACTGTTTCAACCCCTCTGTTCTCTGTATACAAGTCTAATCCAGGATGATCCTCAGCATTCAATGTTGCAATGACAGTATTTAGTTGTCTATGTCCTGGGCCACTAGACTAGGCTCTGAAAGCCAGGCTAGGATCTTTAAGCTTTTTTTTTTTTTTCAAAGACATTACTTTTTAAATTGTGTGTTTATGTGTATGTCTGTGGATGAATTTGTGCACATGAATGCAATGCCTATGGAGACCAGAAGAGGGTGCTGGATCCCCTGAAGCTGGATTTACAGGTGGTTGTAAGCCACTCAATGTGGGCGCTGGCATCTGAACTCCGATCCTCCGTTTAGTACGCACTCTCAACCACATCACTCCGGCCTTAGGATCTTTGAATTCTAAATACCTGGCATGTAACAGTGTGTGATAAATATTTACTCAATGAATGATTGTAGCCTAGTAGTAAACTAAGAAGACATTTCATATTTGTATTATTCAACATGTTGTGCAGGTTTCATTTGAAATGGCACTCATTTCTGAATTTATTTAGAAATAACCCTTGTCTCTCCACAGGAAGGTGGCTTACTTTTGACACTTGTGAAGGTTACTATTATCAACTTGACAGAATCTAGAATCACCTAGGAGACAAACCTCTGGGCAGTCTGGAAGGGAGTTTCTAGACTGGGTTAATTGTGGCATCATTCCACGGGCTGGGGTCCTGAACTGAATAAAAAGGAGAAAGCAAGCTGAGTACCAGCCTTCATCTCTCTGCTTCCTGACTGTGGACACCGTGTGACCAGCCACCTGGCGCTTCTTCAGATAAGACTTCCCACCATGACAGGCTGCAGCCTGCAACTGTGAACCCAAAGAAGCCTTTCCTTCAAGTTTCTTTAGTCAGGTATTTTGTCACAGCAATGAGAAAAGTAACACAATACTGTCAGATAGAAATAGTACATGGCAATAAAAACAAGGGGAAATATTTAGGAATAAATGCTAGTGAGATATTTGAAAATCATTAATTCTTGACACTCTAACAAATTGGTAATAATGAAATCCATGAGTGAAGCAAGCAACTTTTGTGCACATCATCTGAAGTCTTGTTTTGGTGCTGGGGGTTCAACTCAGCCTGGCATGTTTAGACAAGCAAGTACTTTACTGCTGAGCTACACCTCCAGCCTGAAGTCTTTTTGAAAAATTTTTCATCATGAATGGATACTGAATTTTGTTAGACAATTCATTCGTTTATTGTATTAAAATGATCCTATATCTCCTGTTTTTTGTTTTGTTTTTTGTTTCTTTGGTCTTTTTGAGACACGCTTTTTGGTCTCACTGTAGCCCCAGCTGGCCTGGATTTGCTATATAGACCAGGCCTGCCTCTGCCTCCCCAGTGCTGGGACTAAAGGTGTGCACCACCACACCCAGCTCCTGTTTTTTTATTGTGTAAATTACATGGATGGATTTCATGTTCAAGTGTGTATGTTTGCATATGTGCAGGTGTGTGTACATATATGTGTATATGCTTGTTGAGGCCAGAATAAACCTTGGGTATCATTCCTCCAGAGTGATCCTCCTCTTGTCATTGTGTTTTTTAAGAAATATTATTTTATTTTATGTGTATGATGTACGGCCTGCATGTATGCAAGTGCACCTGTGTAGTGCAATACATGTAGAAGCCGGAAGGTGTCAGATCCCTTGCAATCAGTTACAGATGACAGTTAGCTGCCATGTGGGTGCTGGGAACCAAACTTGGGTCTCTGCAAGAGCAGCCAGTGCTCTTCGCTGCTAAGCTTTGTCTTCAGCTTTGTTTCTTGAGACAAAATCTCTTACTGGGACATGCAGCTCTCCAGTTGGGCTAAGCTGAACGGTCAGTGAACCTCTGGGATCCTCCTCTCTCCACATCCCCAGCGCTGGGATTATAAGTGTGCACCATCATACTCAGCTTTTTAATATGGGTGCTGGAGACAGAACTCAGGTCCTCATGCTTGTGTGGTGAGCACTTTACCCACGGAGCCATCTCCCCAGCTCCATCTACTAGGTTTTACCATTAGGTTGGCCTGACTTTCCTTAAATATGTCCCCCTTGGTCCTCATGTATCATCTTCTTGTGTATTTGTGGATTCAATTTCTTAATACCTCAAAGAATTTTTGTGTCTGGATCCATGGGGGATACTGATATGTAGCTATTATTGAGAGAGAGAGAGAGAGAGAGAGAGAGAGAGAGAGAGAGAGAGAGAGAGAGAGAGAGAATATGCATGAAGTGTCAAAGGAAAACTGTGGAGATGAGTCTTTCATCTACCTACACATGAGACCCAGGGATCAAACATGGGTCAAGAAGCTTGTGCAACAAGTGCCTTTACCCCCTTTACCTGCCGAGCCATCTTGCGGCCCCTGAACTGCCACAGCGTTCGTGTGAAGTCTTTTATCTGGTTTTGGTTTAAAAGCAACAAAATGCTCTGTCTTCCTGTTTTTGGAAGAGGTTACATACAACTGCTATTCTTTCTTCCTTAACTGTGTGAAGGAATTCACCAGAAAAGCTACCTGATCTGGAGTTTTGTGTAAGGTTTTTAAATATGAATTGAATTGTATATCAATATAGTTTTATTCATTTTTTTCTAGTACCTACTGGGTCACTTAAGGAAGTTATGTTTTTCAAGGATTTTGGCTGTTTCATCTTGGTTTTTTAATTTAGTGACCTCAATATCCTTTTAAGCTTTGTGGGACTTGTAATAACATCTCCTCTTCCATTCCTGACATTTGGCATTAACAATCTCTTTTTTCTCTTTTTTTCCCCTTGATCAGTTTGTCATATCTTATTCTATGTATACTTTCCAAGAATCAGCTTTGGTTTTACTATCTTCATTTCTGTGTTTTGCCACTGAGTCCAGATCTTTATTATTTCTTTTTCTACTTACTTTAATTGAATCTTCTTTTTCTAATGTTTTCTATCATAGGTTGACAGATTTTTTTGTTGTTTTTTTGTCTTTTTGAGACAGGGTCTCCCTGTAGCCCCAGCTGTCCTGGAACTCACTATGTAGACCAGGCTAGCCTTGAACTCACAGAGATCTGCCTGCCTCTGCCTCCAGAGTACTGGGATTAAAGGCGTGGGCCACCATGCCTGGCTATAGGTTGACAGTTTTAAGATCCTTCTGGCTGTTCTCATTTTAAGGTTGGGGAAACCACTATTAACCACTCTGGTGTGCTTTCCTATGCTGAGTTGGAGCCTTCACCAGGCAGGGAGGATGGCGAAGCTGTCTGGAGGGTGCATAAGTCTCTGCTCTAGTGACTGCCTGTGTCCAGCTCTAGAAGCCCCCTCACAGGGAACTGTACAAACTGCACAAGTAGATGCTGACAACTAACTCTGCTAATCCCAGTAAGGGAAGTTACTAACTTTAGTTTTTCTGGCTTAGGTCTCCCTCCCTCCTTCCCTCTCTCCTTCCCTCTCTCTTTCCCTCCCTCCCTCCGTCCCTCCATCCCTCCCTTCCTTCCTTGTTCAAGGACAAACCTTGAAGGACAAAAGAAAAACCACAGGGCAGGCAAGCTGTCAGTCTTGCAGCTGACTGGAGGAAAAGGCTGGAGAAGAGAAGGAAAAAAATTCATGCGGTTTGTAAACAACCATGTGGCAGAAAGTAGTGAGATAACTTTGTAGGGAAAGGGTGAGGAAGCGCAGAGTGTCCGGGAAAGCAAGGAAAAGGGAAAGCTATGCTTTTCTGAGGAAAACAGAACACGGGCGGGCTTAACCCAACCACATGGTTGTGATGCCATAGCGACCACCTGACTATTTCTTTGGTCAGTCATTCATTAGTGGGTTTTCTTGACCTTGTCCTTTCTAACTTGTTCTATTTTTTTTTTTTAAAAAAAAGACATTTTATTTTAATTTTCTTTTTATTATGTGTATGAGTGTATTGCCTACATGAATGTAAGTGCACTCGTGTCATGCCATACCCATAGAGGTCAGAAGGGGGCTTCGGATTCCCCTGGAACTGGAGTTAAGGATGGTTCGTAGCTGCCATGTGGGTGCTGGGAATCGAACCCAGGTCCTCTGCAAGAAGAGTTAGTGTTCTTAACCACTGAGTCATCTTGCCAGACCCAGATTTGTTCTATTTATTTAACAGATAAATTTGTTTCCTATAGCAAGGCATTTGCTAGAGAAATTTAATATAAAACCAAATGAAGAGGCAGCATTTTTACTTTCAAGCTATTAGTCATTTTTAAGGACAATTATGGAGAAACATTTTGTGGAAAGAGGTGTTTCTGAAGTCAAAGCATTAAAGTCAGTTGTATATGCAACACTTAAAACTTCTTTTCAGGCCGGTGAGATAGCTCAGTTAGTAAAGGTACCTGCCATCAAGCTGATGACCTGGGTTTAGTCCTTGGGACCCACATAGTGGAAGGAGAGAACAGACTCCTGCAAGTTGTCCTCTGACCTCCACATGTGCTCTGTGTCACACACACACACATACATACATACACACACACACACACACACACACACACACACACAAATAAAAATGTAATGAAAATAATTTTATTTTTATTTTTATTTTATGTATATTCATGTATTGCCTGCATGTAGGTAAGTGCACCAGTGTTGTGCAATGCCCACAGAGGTCAGAAGAGGCTGTCAGATCCCCTGGGACTGGAGTTACAGACAGTTGTTAGCTGCCATGTGGGTGCTGGGATTTGAACCCAGGTCTTCTGCAAGAACAACCAGGGTTCTTAACCACTGAGCCATCTTTCCAGCCCCATGAAAATAATTTTTTAAAAACTTCTTTTGTTCTGTTACTTGGTCATTTTCCTCTCCCTGCCCTGCAACAGCCTGAGCTTTAGCTACTGAATGATACTCCCTCCTGACCTTGAACTCACTATGTAGCTGAGAATGACCATGAACTCCAGATCCTTACTCTACCTACCAAGCACTACAGGTTTGTGCTGCCATGCCCAGCAGCTACAGTAATTTTTATAGTTTGTTGTTGTTGTTGTTGTTGTTTTTGTCTTTTTGAGACAGGGTCTCCCTGTAGCCCCAGCTGTCCTGGAACTCACTATGTAGACCAGGCTTGCCTTGAACTCACAGTGATCCACCTGCCTCTGCCTCCCGAGCTCTGGGATTAAAGGTGTGCACCACCACACCACCAGGCTTTTATAGCTTTTTTTATGTGTATGACATATTGCTTGCATGTGTGAAAGTGCACCACGTGTATGTATGCAGTATCTACAGAGGCCAGAAGAGGGTGTTAGAGCCCCTGGAACTGGAGTTACAGGTGGTTGTCAACCGACAAGTGGGTGCTGGGAACGGAATCCCAGGTCCTCTGGAAGAGCAGCAAGTGCTCTTAACTGCTGAGCCATCTCTCCAGCCTCCAGAGTAAAATTTTAAAGACCTTTTAAAAATTCTTCATTTAAATTTTTCTTTCTTAACTAGACACAGAAGGCGCAATGTTCTACCCCAGCTTGGGAGGCTGAAGCAGGAGGCCTGCACACTGGGGGCTGGCAGGGCGCACCTCCATCTCAAATTCTAAAAAGTAAAACAAAAGTTTTTTTCAAAAGAAATCCTCATGGGGCACACCAACTACTGAAATCAAAAAGTCTAGTTTTGTCACTGTAACTGTAGCACTGTTAATTGTGCACAGGTTATGACTGCATTAAATGCATTTGGAATCTGCTTTAAGTAAACACAATGAAACCAAACCCTAAATGAGCCAGGGAGGATTTGACCACTCATAATGCAAAATGACTCTTCAATTTTAAAAACATTCGTTGTAGGTTTTTTTTTTTAATAGGTTATGAGACCCCGTGGTTTTAAAATCATTAAAAAATTTATACATAAATTTCAGGAGCTTATATAGTATATAAAATGATGCACAATGCCACATGTGCATGGTTGGCACCTTATTTATTTTCATGATTATATGTGACTACTCCATATTGCTTAGTTTCAGGCTTTAGAAGAACCTGAAGATGCCCCTTTCCTAATGATCACTTTACTGGAAAACTTTCCTTTATAAATGATACAAAAATAAGCACTAGGCTTGAGGGTAGAACTCAGTAGTAGAGTGCTTACATAGCACGCATGAGTCCATAGGTTGGATACCTAGCATGGCTAGTAACTTAAATAAACAGCTAATCATGGTGGTATATACCTGTAACGCCAGCATTCCTGCTGAGGCAGGAGGATCTTGAGATCAAAGCCAGTGTAGGGTACATAGGGAGACCCTGTGTCAACAAACAGACTAACCAGCCAACCTACCAACCAACCAACCAACCAACCAACCAACCAACCAACCAACCAACCTCAGCTCCTCTTGTAGAATCATAGTAGATCTGAAGTAGTGAATTGAAGACCCATGTTGACCAATACCGAACATAATGCCGAGTTCTCATGTTGGAACTGAAGTTTTCTAAGAGGCACAGAAATCGGGGATGAGGACCCAGGAAGCTCCCCAGTCCTGACCTCTCAGACATAGCCGTGGTTGGAGGGTGTCAGCTGAGGGCTCACAACATGAGTATCTTTTTTTGTTTGTTTAAAAAAATTTTTTTTAAATTATGTGCATGTGTGTGTGTCTCTGTGCACGTGTAAGTGCCCTCAGAGTCCAGAAGAGAGCATCAGTTCCCCTTGAGTTGGAGTTCTGGGTGGCTGTCAGCTGCCCTAGGTGGATGTTCTTAGCTGCTGAGTCATCTCTCCAGCCTCTCAACAGGAGTATTTTGTTTGGTTTTTTTTTTTTTTTTGGTGGTGGTGGTTTATTTTTTATTTTTGGTCTTTTTGAAACAGGGTCTCCCTGTAGTTCCAGCTGTCCTGGAACTCACTGTAGACGAGCAAGCACTATAATTAGACAGATTACTTTGTATGCCTACTTAAATTTTTGTTGCTGTTGCTGTTGCTGTTTTTTGTTGTTGTTGTTGTTTTGTTTTTTTGAAACAGGGTCTCCCTGTAGTTCCAGCTGTCCTGGAACTCACTATGTAGACGAGGCTGGCCTTGACCTCACAGAGATCCGCCTGCCTCTGCCTCCCAAGAGCAGGGACTAAAGGCATGCACCAATGACACCCAGAAACCTGAGTACTTTGAACAGGACTACAAAGCCTTAGAAAAGGAGACTTCGACATCACAGGTCTGCTGGTAGTTTTAATTGTCAACTTGATGCAACCAGCAGTCACCTGGGAAGAAAGTTTTAATAAGGAATTATCAGGAGCAGATTGGCCTGTGCAGGTGTTATGGGGATTGTCTTGATTTTTAATCAATCTAGGAAGACCGAGCCCATTGTAGCTGAGCCAGTCCCTAGGCAAGGGTTCCTGAAGTGTGAGGCAGAAAGCGAGCTGAGAACAATAGAGCAAAGGTCCATGTGTTCACTCTCTCTGCTCTTGACTGTGGATGACATTCCTGCCCCGACTTTTCCTGGATGACGGACTGTAACCTGGAATTGTGAGCCAAACTCCTTTCCCCCAAGTTGCCTTTTGTCAGGGCATTTTATCACAGTTCTGCCCTTTGAACCATTTCCCTTCCTGGTTTCAAGTCTGATCTAGTTCTGCTAGATCTAAGTCTGCTGCTTCAAATTTACCTTGGGCTTGGTGACATGAAGTTCTTTCACCATTTGAATGTAGTGCTTCTTCCATACGCCCTGCTCGAAGGGAGTTGGGGAGAAACTGATGTACCAGTTAAAGCGTAAGCACTTGAGCATCCAGAGCTGGTCCAGCTCAGCCAGGTTCCTCCAGTGCCAGCTCACCTGGAGAAACGGTGGTAGACAAATACAACACAACTGCTTAGTTTACATTTTCGTTTTCTCAAGGTTTTCAGCTGCTGGGTGGACCTGAAGTAACTTTTGTTGATTTCCTTTAAGTCACGGCTCAGTTACTGCCTCCTGGAGTGCTTGCTAGACTTAACCAAGTCTGCTTGATGATGTTCCTGAGCATCCGTTAAGCACCCTCCCCCAAAACTAGGGAAGTAAATAGAATTATGACTCTCATATTGCCAATGAAGAAACCAAGGCTCAAAGTCAATTTAGAACTTTCTAAAGGCTTATGAAGGCCATACGAAAGTTTCATAGGTTCAGATCTACACGTTCATTCTTTTCATAGTGTGCTTCCTTTTTTGTCCATCCTTAAATTTTACAAAATACACATTTTATAAATGGGACACAATTAACAAGTATTTGGTGTGTGTTATAAAAGCTTTAGGCCAGGTGTGGTGGCACATGCTTGCAATCCTAACACTTGGGAGGTAGAAGCAGGAGGATTAGGAATTCAAGGCTACATAGTACCCTTAAGGCTAACCTTGGCTGCTTGAGATGCAGCCTCAAAACGCACATTCTCTCTCAATAAATAAGTAAATAAATGGAAATAAAACCTTTAGGATTCCACAGAGCATAAAGAGTTTGTTGAATACATCTCATTTCTGTAACAGTGTATCTAAGAGGCCAAGTTCATCTATGAAGTCGAGAGTGATTCTGTAGCTAAGCTACGATAGTTGGAGAGAGAACATCCAACTTTCACATCTGTATTTTACCCTTAAAGACTGGCCTTTGTGAAGATGAATTAGTTTATAGTTTTTGACTGGCCCTCCAAAAAGTAGACCATTCTGTGGACGCTTTCTCTCTTCCCCCACCCCTCCCCCTCTCTCCTTCCATCCACCATTTATTGAGTCCCTACTATGTTCAGTGTTGTGATAGGTGATGAAGGGAGATATCAGGAGGAAGTAGGGCACAGCTCAAAGAAGTAAGGTTCTGGAGCTGGAGAGATGGCTCAGCCATTAAGAGCACTGCCTGCTACAGAGGACCCAGGTTCGATTCCCAGCACCCACCTGTAGATGGCTAACAACCAACCACAGCTCCAGTTCTGATGCCCTCTTCTGACTTCCACAGGCATTCCATGATGTGGGTACACTATATACATAAAAATACACTATATACATAAAAAAAAAAAAGAAAAAAGAAATAAGGTTCGGGAGCTGGAAGGAGAGCACAGATCACAGGCTCTGATAGAATGCTTCAGGCAGATGCAGAAACCACATGATTCAACCCAGAAACAAAGCCATGGTCATCCAGCTCTCGTGTGGCAGATTAATTCAATTCAATTCAATGGAGATGGGATTTTGTCAGGAGGGGATATCAGGAGAAAAGACTTTCCATTGGTGCTCCTTTCTTCCTTATTAAAAAATTTAACACTTCTTTGTTATTGTTTAAATGTTTTGCTTTACTTATGATTTACCTATATTTTGAAACAGACTCTCATTATATATCCCTGGCTGCCCTTGAACTTGCTATGGAGACCAGGCTGGCCTCCAACTCAATAGAGATCTGCCTGCCTCTGCCTCCCAAGTGCTGGGATTACAGGTGTGTGCCACCATGTCTGGTTTATTGGTTTATATCTTGAGTAATTTTACTTCACTTTAATATAGTAAGACTCCTTGTAAGAAATATTGGCCTCTTTTGTTCTAAGCCTTCTGACTGCCCACTCAGATCTTTTCTTTCTTTCTTTCTTTCTTTCTTTCTTTCTTTCTTTCTTTCTTTCTTTCTTTCTTTCCCTCCTCCCCTCACTTCCTTCCTTTGTAACTTATTTTTTTTTGAGACAGGGATTCACTCTGTAGTGCAGGCTATCCCTGAACTCACAGGGGTCCTCCTGGTTTAGCCTCCCGAGTGCTGAGATTACAGGTGTGACCACTGTGCCTGGTTTAGATCTCTTTTAGTCTCATTCTCACTTTCATTCCTGAGGTTATCCCAGTTTCAGAGTTTCCTAAGGCTGTCCTGACAAAACGCCACATGCCGCTCTGTTGCCTTTACCTGTGCACAGCGACAAAGGCTCCGAGGGTCCAGAAAGGAAAAGATATAGACAGATAACACCCTTGGAAGCTTGGTAGTGAAATCCAGGGCCTCTGCTGGGATTTTTTCCTGCAGCTTTCGACAGCAGAACTTCTGCTGGGCCAGGGAGCAGCGCTCCAGCAGACCTGTGAGGATCCTCCTCCTTTGAGAGTCTGTCCATTTGTCAAACTGAGAAAACAAAAGACGTTCCAGGTGTACTGTGATTCATCACAAGGAAGAGGAGAACAGCATAGAAAGGAGTTTAGTACGTCACGATTCGCTAACCCTTCCTCTGCTTTCCTTGCTGAGCATACACGTGATCAGACCTCAGCTGTCAGTGTATGGGTGATGGTTAGCTTTAGTTGTCCATTTGACATAATCTAGAATCACGTGGGGAAAGACGTGTCTAGATTAGCTTGGCCTGTGGGCAGGTCTGTGGGGTACTGTCTTGATTATGTTAATTGAGATGGGAAGCCTCCGTCCACCCAGCGGTGAGTGGCCTCATTCCCTAGGTTTGGGTCCTGGTCTGAATGAGAGCGGAAGAAGCGTGATAAGCACTGGCAAGCTTCCGTGCATTCGTTTTCCTAGGCTTGGCTTGTGGCTGTGGCCATGAAGTTCCTGCACCTTGGCTTCCCTGCTGTGGTGAGTTGTAGCCTGGAACTGGGAGCTAAGGCAAACTCTTGCTCCCTTGAGTTGCTTTCTGTCAGGATATTTTGTCACAGCAAAAGAAACAAAACAAGGACACACACATGCACAGGTGCATGCACACGTGTATACTTTAAATTCGTATCCTCGTTTGTTTCTCCATTGCTGTGACATAATACTCTGACCAACTTGGGGAGGAAAGGGTTTATTTTATCTTACATCTCCCAGGTCACAGTTCATCAGGGAGCCCAAGGTTCACAACTCAGGGCAGGAACCTCAAGGCAGGAGCACAGGCCATGGAGGAGTGCTGCTTACTGGCTTGCTGCCTGACCCCTGCTCAGACTGCTTTCTTATACAATACAGGCCTACCTGTCCAGGGGTGGTACCACCCACAATGGGCTGGACCTGCCCACATCACACAACAATCAAGAAGATGCCCCACAGACATGGCCACAGGCCAGTTCAATGGAGGCAATTCCCCAATTGAGGTTCCCTCAACCCAGGTGTATCAAGTTGACACTAAAACTATCCAGCACAATTGACCCCTTGTCAAGTTGACACACAAACTCATCACTATTAAACCATAACCTTTCTTATTCTTGTCCCCAAAATATGATGTTAATATCACAACATAAGACAGTACAACCTTTAAAACCCCACAGTCCTTAAAAAATCCAAACACTTGAAAGTCTATAGTCTCTAGGGGCTGAAGAGATGGCTCAGAGGTTAAGAACACTGGTTGTTCTAGCAGAAGACCCGTGTTCATACTCCAACACCCACATGGCAGCTAACAACTGTCCATAACTCCAGTCCCAGGGGATCCAACAGCCTCTTCTGACCTCCGACATGGGTGCATGACATGGGTGCACGACATAGGTGCACTTACCTACATGCAGGCAATACAT